GAAGAATCCCAAATATATATTGAATAATTATATATGCGGGGTATATATTCTCTTATGTAATATATACCTCCACACAATTGTGGACAAAATTATGAAACATGTAAATGTTGGTATCAAAGGACAGATGGTATAAAATATTCTGTTAATTTTTTTTTTTTTTTTTTTTTTTTTTTTTTGAAATCCACAAGTGCCAAGTCCAAAAACCTAAAACTTACAAAGAATTTGTTTACATTTAAATCTGGTTCATTTACAAATTATTTTCAAAAAATACATTACAAGACTTTTTTAAAATAAATGTGTGTGTGCGTTTGTCATAATTAAAAACCGTTTCATAAGAAAAACTCTACAAAACATTTATTTAAAAAATACTACTTGTGTAAAACATTAAATCGAAAAACTACTGTATAACCACGATATTTGAGTTCACTCCAACGCTATTCCAGGTAAATCGACATTTGAAGTTGATACACAATGACGTATCAAAAAATCCATCACTCTTTAAAAAAAAAGAACCCCAAAAATCAAAACAAACAAAAAAATGTGGGATCTAGCGCCCATACAATGAGTTTGTATCTGTACAACAACGACAATAATTTTCTTTAAGTGATGGTTGACAGAAAAAAAAACAGAACCAAAATAAAAACAAAATTTGCAATGCATACCAAAAAAACAGTATTTGCTTAAAAAACGAAAAAAAACATACTCCTCCTGCCTAACAATTGGCTTATCACAACAACAACAAAAACTGCTTAAACTTACAAATTTCAAACAAAAAACAATTTCCACTCTCTCTCTCTCTGCAATCTTTTCCAAACTATCATCACCAAAACATCAATTCTATTGAGCGACCAAAAACAAAGAAACAAAAACACATCTTTCTCTCACTTTTCCACTCTCTCTCTATCTAAAAAGTCTTAATTTTTTCTGTAGAAAAGTTTTTTTTCTAAGTAGATTTTTTGTTAAAACTCCTCTTCATTAGTAAATCTGTACTAATTTTTCATGTGAATATTTATATTTTTACATTTAATCACATCTAGTCGCATTCATACATATCTATTAGTTTGATCACCATTTTTCTCTGCATCACTTCATTCATAATTTTCTGTTTTTGCATTTTAGGCTTTGTTGTATTATTTTCAGTTTGCTTTTTCTATATTCTTCTACTTCTTCTTCGTCTATCACATTTTTCTGTCACTGCATCACACTCTTGTCTTGCGTTTGCATACAACTTCATACATACCCATACATACATGTCATGCTTACTTATACATTTTTTTTCTACATTAAATTAGGCGAATGTCAAAATAATTATTTTTTTTTCTTCGATTTGTTTTATTGGTATTTGTATTGTAATGTCATAGTTTTTTAAATGGATTTTTATTTTATTTAAATAATTTTTTTAGTTTTAAAAAATTTATTTATTGTTTTGTGCTGTAACAAAATGGGAACATAATGGAAATTTAAAAAAGAATTAATTGATTAGCTGCCATACAATGTGGAATAACGACACTACGTTACATACTGTGTGGGGACGCCTATGCGTATACGTAACGCCTGTTGAAGTAGAAATAAATCATACGCACTGAAGTCTCTCTATATAAACCATGAGGGCTTGCCTTTACGAGAGTAAATGCAAAATACCAACACCATTTTAAATGAGTTTTTCTTAGTTTTAATATTCCTTATTACAATAATAAATATAAAAATTTTAAAATTAAATTTGGAGAGGCGTTTTTATTTCCCATTCACTTCAGTATCGTCAACCTCAGAAGGATTATTAAAAAAAGGAAATAACTTTCATAATATAAAAACGTTCCTCTCTTAGAATTAAAACCATTTTACAAAAAAAATTAAATTTAACTGCCAACGCCTTTAGGTATGAACAAAGGGTGCTAAGAATGTACAAAATATTTTTATTTATTTATTTAGTTACTTATTATTATTATTATTTTTTTTTTTTTTTGTGTCCTTAAAGGAATCTTAGTTCGTCCAAATCGAGAATATAACCCTAAGAATTTTTTAAGGATTGTTCCAAGATGTACCGTAAATACCATAACACACTAAGCTGCTAAAATTATATTAAACATTTGCTGGGCAAAAATTCGACTTAAAAAAACCAATGCAAAAATCGAATGACATAGGTCAAAAAGCACGGGACGATCAAAATAAATAGATTTTGATGACATTTCAAAAAAGTACATATCCTTATCCAATGTCGTATTATGAAAATATATTCGGATTCGCGTTGTGATTAATCAAAATGTGGACCCTCTATGGTCGAGAATCCGTATTATTGTCAATTTTCTCAAATATTACGTCTCGTCAGGCTTGGACTATATTAAAATTTTCAAATTTTGCGGAAAATAATTGCAAAATTTAAAAATCGGAAACTCTATCTTAGAAATGATAGGACCAAAAAACCGTCTATTTTGATCTTGGCCATATCAAATGATTTAGCCATATGGCTGAGGGTATAAAAAAAGACCATAAAAATAATTTAAAATGATCCAAATATTCCGACATAGTAAAGGTAGCAAAGTATTCAGGCAATGCGTATAGTAGATTTTCGTAACTGCTATGTCTGTACTAAGTCGTGTCAAGTTTGGCCTATATCGACTACGTCCCCCATTATATATTCAGGATGAGATAAAAAAAAAACTGCAACAAAGCCATAATTTTGCATTTTTTTTTTTTTTAATTTTATTGATTGGAAGTAAAAAATGTCGGAAATAGCATCAAATTTTAGAATATGTTTAGATTTGTTCGAATTGGTCACCGATGTAAGTTCTTGCACTTTTTGGAATTTCAATGGCTTTACCCCGAACTCATTTTTAAATATTTGTCGAATGAAATATTGCGATATTTTCAACTCACGAGTAATTTTTCGGCCACTGCGACACGGTTTTCGATCAAGTCGCTTCTTTATTTTTCGAACTATTTCCGCTGATGTTGCTGTTTTCTTACGTCCACTTCCTTGGTGGAAATTTCATCAACATTTTGTGGCAGAAGAAGATTCCATATACTTTGAACTGCTTGGTAACTGTAGCTGAAACATACAAAATCTCGAACATTTTTAGCTGCAGAGGGCAATATATCCCCACTTCCAAAACCAACCATCTTACTTTTTTCAGAAATCGAAGCTACATATGAAATTTAAAGGCATATATGTCAACTTTAATAGGAATATAAAATCTATAACATTTTTTCGATTTAAGTCCTTGAAAAATACTTTAAGTCCTTGAAATATTCTTTAAAAAATTGCGTTTAAGTCATTGAAATATCCTTAAAAAAGCCGGATCAAATCCTTGAAATATCCACGTTTAAGTCCTTGAAATATTCTTTAAAAAATAGCATTTAAGTCCTTGAAAAATTCACGTTTAAGTCCTTAAAATATCCTTTAAAAAATCCACGTTTAAGTCCTTGAAATATTCTTTAAAAAATTGGCGCTTAAATCCTTGAAATATAAGTCCTTGAAAAAATCCAAGTTTAAGTCCTTGAAATATGTTTAAAAAAATGGCGTTTAAATCCTTGAAATAAATTCCTTGAAAGAATCCAAGTTTAAGTCCTTGAAATATCCTTTGAAAATCCTTAAAATATCATTGAGAAAATGCACGTTTAAGTCCTTGAAATATCCTTGCAAAAATTCGGCTTTAGGTCCTCGAAATATTCTTTAAAAAATTACGTTGAAGTTCTTGAAAAAATCAACGTTTAAGTCCTTAAAACATCCTTAAAAAATCCACGTTTAAGTCTTTGAAATATCCTTGAAAAAATCCACGCTTAAGTCCTTAAAATATCCTTGAAAAAAAAACAAATTTTAAGCCCTTCTATGGAAAATCCACCCATCAAGTCCTTAGATGGCCTTTGATAAATAGTTTTAAACATCCACCATTGTGTTATAAATTTTTTTTGGAAATGTCTGAAAAAATTTTCCTTTGGTGGACCCTTACATAATTTGTTTCAAACAAACGTGGATTTTTTTAAAACAAATTTTTTTTCCGAATTTACAACATTTGTGTTTAAAATAACTCTCCAAATGCAGTTTGGAGTTTGTCCGACGGGCTTAACCAACAGCGAAACACGTCGCAAAGTGGTTGAATAAATAGGACTACCCTAGATTTCAATATAGAATACCATCTCCTTAGGTCTTTAACAGTTCAACTCAAAAGAGAAATTATATTTCTCCAAAGAAATATTAGCTATTAAAATTTTAGCCACCTTTAAGAGGTTATATTTTTACAATTTAAGTTTAAGATACCAAATAATTCGTTCTTCCACATCTGAATGCGATAAAAATATTTTTTTTATTATTTAAAAAAAATTATAATAATAAATAGAAACGTATTTCCGTTATGTTCCCAATCTCTCATTGAATGTTCAATGTCTACGTTTTTGTTTCCGTTTCCTTTTCCGTTTCAATGCTGTAACTTCTTTGATTTGCTCTCTGTTTAGTTGTTACTCTTTCTTTCTCTATTTTTTTTTTTTTAAACTGTGTTACTGAATCTTAACCCTCGAAATTCGAAGATCATTGTTATTATCTGATACATTTGTCTTTTTCTTTTCACATTGTTTGATAAAACGAAACAAAACCCAAAAAAAAAAAAAAAAACAAAAAATGTTGAACATTTAACGAAACAATCAACGGCTTTTCCCGCAACTCCAAAACCAAACCAAACAAAAAAAAATCATAACAAAAAATCTAAAAACACAAACAATATGGCCAACAATTTTTTTTGGAACTCAAAATTTTGATACGTTGCTCTCCCCCGAACATTTCCCCCACCCCCACCCAAACCACAAACCAAACATCCAACAAATTGTTTCGATTGGTTGACATCATTAAATGCTGCCTTTAACGATTGTGATTTTCCCTCTCAAAAAAACAACAAAATCGGAACAAAAAATACGAAAAATATTTTTTTCTTGAAACTCTCAATAAAAAATATTTCAAAAATTGCATCCAAATCACAAAAATTCAATTCAAAATAATAATAAAATAATAGAATACGCCACTGTGGGCTATATGGCAAAACGAATTCAAATGCGAAAACAAAGATTTATGACGATCCAAAAGATGGCTGAGCAAAAAAAGCAGCAACAACTTGATGGGGTGCAACCGCCACCCAATCCAAATCCGAATACGGTGGTGGATCATGGCGGACATGGGCATGGTCATGGCCATCACAGCCATGGTCATCCTCATGTACCCAAACAAACAGTGAGTAACCGCCCAATTGGCTTTCAAACTATGCAACAACAAAATATTGGTGGTCGCGGTTGCTCGATAGTGGGACCCTTGTTCCAGGAGGTGAGATTCAAAGTGCACGATCCCAAGGCTCACTCGAAGGGTGGCACCCTCGAGAACACGGTCAACGGTGGACGTGGTGGCCCGCCCGTTGGCCCGCATGGCCCCGGACCCCAGGGACCGCCCGGTGGACCGCCAGCCGGCGGTGGCGGAGGTGGAGGTGGAGCACCGCCCGAAGGTGGTGATGCTGAGGCCGCGGTACCAGCTCACTTGCTACACCCGGGCAAGGTAAAAAAAGTAATTTTATGTCTACACTGTGTTAGCCCTCGGGCCATGAACAGTTGATCTGACTAATCGATTTTTTTTCTCTCTCTCTCTTTTTTTCATTCTCTCTTTGATATTGAATTTTTGTTATTTTTATTTGGTATTTATTTGTAATATTTTTGGATACTAATTTATTTTTTGGAATGAAAAAAAATAACTCTAGGATATTAACAAGCTCTTGGGCATAACACCATCGGACATTGACAAATACTCCCGTATTGTGTTTCCGGTGTGTTTCGTGTGCTTTAATCTCATGTACTGGATTATCTATCTGCATGTCAGCGATGTGGTGGCCGATGATTTGGTCTTGCTGGGTGAGGAAAAGTAAATGGCAGCAGGAAAAGGCAAAAGAAGAAGAAGAGGAAGAAAACACGAAAACAGCAACAACAACAACAGGTGTTTACAGCGACAACACTGCAATCCAGCACATGTCTCTGGCTGGCATCATCGTAGCAACCTCCAACCGGATCAATGGCAAACCAATTACCCCAAAACTTCAAGGCAGTGGAAAATTGTTCTTTAAGAATAATTCTTACACCCGAAAAGGCTCATTACCAACAACAACAACATTACAAGAACACATGAACAGCAACAACAACAACCACAAAAAAACTATACCGAAGAGATACACGCATTAGTTGTAGTTAAATGAAATTTAATACATATTAAATATAATTTTAGTAAGCAAAAGAAAAAAAAAACCGAAAAAGGAAGAAAAAACCAAGAAAAATATATAGTTATAATTTATTGTTAATGTAAAAAACCGAAAAAACACAACAACAAACCCAAAGTCCCGATGAAAAAGGAGGAAAAGAAAAATTATACTATAACTACAGTTATATACATATATATATGAAATATATATATATTTAAAACCCAGCAAAACAAAAAAAAACAAATGTTAATTACCATTGAAATAACTGAGCAGATAAGAGAACACAACACTAACGGCCGGATAAAATAGGCGGATATTCCTCACAGTTACCAAAAATACACAAAAACAACAACAACACAAATCAAAAACCCAAAATTATATACTGAGATCAAGTAGAATTGTTTATGAAAGTATTCCCCCCTTTTCCCCCAAAACATAACCCTGTTAGAAATAAGTAAAACCCCCTCTCCCCAAGAAAAAAAATGAAAACAAAAACAAACAAATTAAGACTTAAAAATCCAAAAAACAAAACACAACTCTTGCAATAAATAAAAAGAGAAAAGTAAAATCAACAAAACAAACTGAGATTTAAAAAAAGAGATACACTCTCTCTCTCTCACACACACTCTCAGATATTTATAGGAGAACTATAAAATTAAAAAAAATTATATATAAAACAACAACCCAATTAACGATGCCCCAAAAAACACAAAACAAAACATGATTTTTATTCTGATGTCACTTAGTTAATTTTTAACGAGATTTCTGTTACATCACATCTCTCCTTTTCTCAAATTATTTTTGCTCTCTCTTTCCACACACTCTTGTTACTTCTCATGTTATATCAGGCTTCCTATATTTAGATATAAATAAACATATAACATCTTTTTAAACAATTAAATAATTCCTTAACTCTTTCACTGAGCAAACGTTTAAGTTTTGTTCTCTTTGGCACAGAAACATGCACTCCCAGGTTCTCTTTGTTTTTTTTTTTTTCTCTACAAAAGAAACTCATCATTGTCTTCCTTAAGATACACCTAAGTATGCACTCTTTGTCTTTGTTTTTACCGTAAACTTCAATGCCAGAGTCCAGGATTATTGGGTTTTAAAGATGCTCTCTCGCTCTCTCTCCGCCACTCTCTGTTTTTTCTCTTTACGAATGCATCATAACCCAACAATGTCAATTAATTAAATGAAATGCCAACTCGAAATAATAATAAAATCACAAGGAAATATTGGAAGAGGACTTTTTTAAATTACAAAAAAAAAATATATAAAAATATTTTAATAATGAAACGTTTTAGGGTCAAGAGAGGATTCAAGAAGTCAAATTAAAACTTCAAAAATTAAAGAAATCTATTTTTGTAAAAAAAGTGAAAGCCAGGCAAGATTCCAAGACCACACATTATCTTTAAGCAATCAAACATAGCGCAAAAACATGGTATTCAAACTAGTTTTGAAAATCACATAAAATTTCAAAATTTATTTACATTTCGTTGAAAATATGAACCAATATTTTGTATTGGGAGTTCATTAACTTCATTAAATTTTTTGCCTTTAATTGATCACAAGCAGGCCTTAATGAGGGCTCTATAATTGACCCATTGAACAAAACATAGAAAGATTCGAAAAAGAAGATCTTGACATATTTTGAAGCGTAAAAAATCGAATGGGAGCATAAACAGATTAATGAGACAAAATTCTCTCTCTCTCTCAGCATCAGCCAGTTCCATTTAGACATTTAGAAGTTAAGCCACATTTTTTAAATTTGGTTTAAGGATCATATCTGTGTTAGGATAGGTTGAATGAGACTTTGCACTGAAAGGGTTCTGAAAAGTACTAACAACTGTGTTTTTCAATCAATAATTTTGTAGTTTTTGCTGCCAACCTAATATTTTGCAAGACGGTTACTTACTGAGAAAGTATGGGGCATTTTGATAATTTTTACAAAAAAAAAATGCTTAATACTGTACTTTCAATACTAGAGTGTGAAAATTTGAATTGTAGGGTTTTTTTTTTTTTTTTTTTGAAAAAGTTGATATATTCTGACTAACTTAATTTGTAAAATTTTACTTTTTTGGTACCAAGTAACATATGCAGATGTCTAGAGCTAGAAAATAAATTTGAAGGTAGCCGAAAAGGTTAAAAAATATGGCTCGTCCATCTTCAAAGCGAAAAAAACAAACCGCTTCCACAGAACCACTGTCCTCCTTCTCGCCCACTTACTTCAAGAAGAAACTTGCCGACTTCGAATTTCAAGTTGCCCCCCATCTGCTTTGGAAATATTTGTTTCTTAGCCCTGATTTCTGATATGTTCCTGCCTTCAGTATCAATGGACTATGACATTCGTAGCTGCGACGGACTTACCCACATTTGCCAAAAAATTGTGTAGCAGTAAGTAACTTTTCTCTCTCGGGAGAGAGTTTTTTTCTCCCTCTCTTTGCCTCAGTCTAACTTTCTTCCTCGAGAAAATTGGCTATTGGCCCTCGGTAGTGGTTCTCAAATTAAATTAAATTAAAAATTAAATTATTTTAAAATAAAAAATATTATTGAACAGATGTTTCTCTCCTCTGAGAGTTTTATTCCAGGTGTCCTTTTTGAAATCTAAGGTAAAAAAAATTAATTTGGATGAAAAACACCAATTCTACGTGCTTTTTTCAAATTTGAATTGAAAAATCACATAAATTGGCCATTTTTCTTTCCATTTTTTAAAACAGGCATTATTTCTTACGGGGTTTAAATGAAATATTGAATATCCAGTTGGCCAATATACAGTTTTAGGGTCCATATTAGAGAGGAAACCTGCCAACTTTTAACATTTTCTAGGAGTTTTTGTATCCTGCAGGATAAAAAGACAAATTTATATTTTTCAAACACTTCAAAAAAGAGTCAGATTTTAATTTTAAATTAAAAAATTCAGGTCAAAATAGGTCGTATACATTATGATATCACTTATACGCCCCAACGCCAAATATTTAGTATCCAGTTGGCCTATACAGTTATAGGGTCCATATTAGAGAGAAAATCTGCCAACTTTTAAAGTTTTCTAGGAGTTATTGTATCTTTGCGGGATAAAAAGACAAATTTATATTTTTCAAACACCTCAAAAACATAGTCAGATTCTAATTTTAAATTAAAAAACAAGTAAGCAAAGGCTACAGTCGAGCGGGGCCGACCGTTGAATACCCTACAACACTATAATAAACCATACAGTTTATATAGGCGAAATACTCGACAGAATTCCACAAGATATTGTCACAAATAATAAAAGAAACCCATCAGGTTTCGTTTTCTAATTTTCGAATCCAATTTATTGGTAGATGTTGCACGTAAATGGTCTTCCTAGATCTGGAACCAATATTTCCCAAAGACCTATAATCTCTCAGAAGTGGCAAAAGATTAACATTTAACATAAAACACAGTCAGATTTTAATTTTAAATTAAAAAATTCTGGTCAAAATAGGTCGTACACATTATGACATCACCCCCGCCCCAACGCCAAATATTTAATATCCATTTGGCCCATACAGTTATAGGGTCTATATTAGAGAGGAAACCTGCCAAAAAAAACATAGTCAGATTTTGAATTTCAAATCAAAAAATTCTACTCAAAGGGAGTCGTATACATTATGACATCACTTATACGCCCCAAAGCCAAAACTATTCCACAAATCCCAGTTTTTTTTTCTAAATTTCGATAACCAAATTTCTTTGTGATTTTATTGTTATTTCATGGTCCATGGATTTTGGTACGAGTTCTTTCCTTAAAATACACCTCAGCCAATTGTTTTCTTCTACAAAAAAAATCAAAAATCAGCACCATATCTTCAAAAATTTATGATTTTTTTTTTTAAATTATAAAAAAATGGAATAGCGCAAATAGTATAATTAAACAATTAATAACTAAATATTATTTAGAAACAAAAATGTTATTACAAAAAAAATTGTTTTGTTTTTCTTTTAAATTAAGCGCTTCCAAAATGAATTGCCAAATTTATATTTTAGGCATTTGAATGAGATTAACAAAGAAAAAAAACAAAATAAAATAAAACAAAAATCATAATTGTATTTTTATACTACAATCAATAAGCAAAACCCAAATAAAAAAAATCGAACAAATTGTTGAAAGACATCATAATGGACTAAGGACTCAATGGGGCATCGTGTTACGGGGCTTACTTTATTATCCATTTATTTTTGCACTCAAAATAATGAAAGAAAAACGAAAAATCAACAAATAAAAGTTAAATAAAATAAAAATAAATTAACATAATTTTTTGCACCAGATTGATGAATTGTTGTATTATTTGAAAAAATAAAAATCCCATAAATAATATAACAAAGAAAAGGAAATTTAAAATGAAAATAAACACAAAAAACTACACTGAGAGAAAAAAACCAAGAAAAAAACTATTATTAAAAACCTATATATGGCAAACAATTTTAAGCACTTATAAGTTATAATTTTTTATGAATGAGCAACCAGAAAAAAATATATAATATTACAATAAATGAAGAAAAAACGAAATTTAGGTTATAATTTAAAAAAATGAAGAAAAAAACACTATTGAAAAAATACAAAAAAAAATACAACCAACCAAATATTAAATTAAGAGAAAGAAAGAATACTGCCTAAACTAAAAACCAAAAAAAAATTAAGAAAAACATGACCTATTACAACAACAAAACAAAAAACAAAACC